GTAATTGTGTATAAAACACCGTTTCAAATCCTAATAAAAGCTTTCAGGCCAAAGAGGTCTCCTTAACTCAAAAAAAATAATATATATATATAGTATAGTCAATATTGGCCTATTATTAATTAATAATTATCTTTTAATTATTGTGAGAAACTATATTAAATGCAATTATTATAAACTAAATTATATGCTATGTTCAGTTTCAATTATTTTTTTTAAATCAATTAGTATTCTGAGCTGAATTAGCAATAATATATTAAATCCAGATAATGTAATATATTATTTAGCAATCTGTGTAGTTTTATTACAACTTTACTTTATTAACAATCACTTCATTTAGCTAAGATTATGCAAATGATAATTTATTAAAATATATATTTGCACTTAATCAATTGCTAACCTAACCTTGTAATATCAGCTAAATGAATTTTCAGTAAAATAGCTGTTAGTGAAGTAAGTAACATCAATTTTTATACTTATATATTTGAGTTTATTTTATTTACATTAGCAAGTATGTGTAAAGATTTTTTATTATTCAATAGATAGTTAGTCATATGATATAAACATGCCTTTTGGCCTAAAGGCATGCCCAAGGCATGTCTATGAACCTCATACCTTTTATTCTAAGAAAAGAAGATCAAAAAATTTAAAATTTTATATATAAGACCTGATAAATTATATATTAAAAACTAGAAGAAGTTAAGCCTCTGATAAAAAAAATCAAGTAATAAATAACACTGCTCTAAGTATTTGAGTAATTTAATTAAATAAATTAAGTAATTGAACTTTTGAATTTAGTTTATTTGTTTAATCTACTTAAATTTCATTAGATTGTATAGTAATAACTAGTGTTCCTTACAGGACGGTTTGGGCTGGGTTTTAGCAAAGACTGGATCTGGACCGGAAAACCGGGTCGGGTCCGAAAGTAAACCTGTACCCAAATAGGTGAAGCCCGACCTGAACCAAAACCCATATAAGTATACTTTGCTCATGTAAAAATTATAAAATATAATTTACTAATTATTAAAAAAAAATTTACTAAGCAAAATGCACTCAAGTTTATTATTTTATCTAATCAGTTTGCAAATTTTTTATATATTCTTAAATGAAATTCATTCTATTACATATTTAGCTATCTAGCTCTCTCCACCATGATCTCAAGCACATAGCTTTTCGAATTGTCTTACTATCCAATTGGTTTCGCTTATCAGTGACCATATCTCCACTTATGCTGAACATCTGTTCACTCGGAACACTTGTTGCTAGTATCAAAAGAACATTTCAGGCAAATTTTGCAAGATGTGGATAACTTGATTTATTATTTCGCCACTACTCTAAAATATCAATGTTCCCACTTACTCGTGGTACTAGTAAATATATATCTATTTCACTTTGTTCTTCTGTACATAGTCGTTTGTATATTTGTGTTATAATATTAGATGGTTCTTTGGTTATATGAGCCGTACCTTGACTAGGAACAGGCGCATATTTATTCTCATATCTGTTTATAATACTAAACCAATATTTATTAATTTTAATAATATATTATATATATAATTTTTTTTTTTTTTTTTGTTGCCAATTCAATATGATTCGCACTAACTTACATATCCTTGATTTGATTAATAAGTCACGATGGCTACTTATGAGTTTCAAAATACCCAAGTTTAAGTCATGGGTCTAATATTACTGCAGCAAGATTTAGTATATTTAATTTTTCACAGTATTCTAAAAGCTTCATAGTCGCTTCCTCACACCCGTAATCAAGCCATTGTGAAAGTTTTTTTTTTTTTTTCATTAAGTGTTTTAATTAACAAATAATAGAGAGGAATAACCATTGACAATGTTGGATATTCCTGTATTGACATTTCAACCGTTGCTAAATTAAATAAAACATTAGTTTTTTTTAAAAAAAAAAACCAGTTTGACTAACAAGTTAAGCTAATATTAATCTTCCTTAAATAGTTCTAAAATTGAAACAAGAAGTTCAATTTTTTCCCAATCTTTATCACAAAGTATATTTTGGCGTAAATCCGGATCAGTACAAGAGATAATATCTATCACAACTCGTAATATTACTGCACAAGAACACATTTCATAGGTGGAGTTCCACTGTGTAGAAACATTAAGAATCGGCTTTAAAATCTCTATATTATGTATTGGACACAACATTTTTAATTTTTTACGACGTATCTTCAATCCTCTGATGCTTTTAATTATTTCACATAACTAAATAAATAAATAAATAAATATATTTGTCAAATTTTTTTTTTTAATTTTTTAATTTTATTTGTCAAAAAAAAACCCAATAAAAATAATACAAATAAATAAAGTAATAACCATTTCTAATTTCTTTTCTATAATAGTAAAAATGTTTTGTATCGCAAGGTTTAGAATATGAGCAAAGCATCGTATTGATTGTTGCTTAGGATTAAACTGAATACCAGTCAATAAAATAGAGTCAGAAAAGTCTTGTAAGAATCTATCATTAGAAGCTGCATTATTACGTGTGATCACGATTATTTTAGAAATAATTCCCATTGATCTAAGGCAAGTTTCCATAACACTAGCTATTTCAGCACCCATATATTGTCTATCCATATTAATAAAATCAAGTAAAAGATACTTTATCGACCATGATACATTTAGGTAATATATAGTAACTGACATAAACAATTTGTCGTTATTATCAGTTGTCCAAAGGTCAGTTGTGATTGCTATGTGGCCAGGAACTTCTTGTAGTCTTTTTTTAAGTTGTTCACATTCTTCTTCAAAACTCTTAGTTATATGCCTTTTTACAGTATCTGATGATGGTGCTAATAAATAAATAAATAAATTAAAATACACTATATGTATATAATTAAATAACCTCAAATAATATTGTATATAGGTAATTTACAAAAACTTAAATATCTTAACATGCAGTAACTATATAGTAACGATGTAGTAATTACATAACTACATAGTTACTATACAGTTACTGCATATTAAAAGATTTAAGTTTTCGTATAGTAAGTATTATAGATATAAATTTTATCTATTGCTTGGGGCTCCAAATATGTAAAAATTTCTCTAAAACTATTATCTTCAATTATATGAAATGACTGGTTATGTTTAACGATCCATTATTTAATAAGGTTGGTAAATTTTTTAGATTCAAAGGATTTATAATTTTGATTTGTAATCTAATAATTATATATTATAATATGTTTTAAAGATGCTACTGTATGTATTCTTTTTTTTTTTTTTTTTTAACTTACGGCTTTACTTTTAAGCATATCTAAAACAAAAACATTTCGCATTGGTTTATTTGAATCATTCGATTCTTCCAATTCTGGTACTTTGTTTTTATGTCGACGAACAAGATGTTTTCGGAAGCTTGATATAGATCCATCTTTATGGATTTTTAAAGCATTACTACAATAATTGCATACTGCAGCCAATACAAGTAACTCATCTTTATCTTTAATTTTTTTTTTTTTAAAATGATTCTATACAAATAATCTATAAATAAATACATTAGTATTGCTATATGATATAAAGTTAATACAGTACTAAGTTTTTGAAAAAATTACTTATAAGTTATGGTAGCTTTAGTTAAAGGCAATGATTCATCATTTTCAAATTCATCTAAACAGGTTATATTTGTTAGCTCCTGAGTAGTATCATCATTATGAAGTTCATTGTAAGATTCCTCAAAAGATTCATCAAAGAGCTCATCACAAGATTCATTATAGGGTTTATCATAGGGTTCATTGCAAGGTTCATTATTATATGGAAATACACTTGAGCTTGACATAATGTTTTTTTTTCAGTTAACTCTATACCGAACTTAATATTCTTAAGAAAATTGGTTTAATAAAAAAAAAAAATTAAAGTTCAGTCTATTCAGCTCAGTTTAGAGAAATATATTAATTGTATTAAATTATAGTAACATACTTGAACTTGTAAAGAATGAGATCAAAAAGTTTTAGCGTAAAAAAAAAAATAGCACTTAATTAAACATTGTAATCGTAAAAAAAAAAAAAAAAAGCATTTTTATAAAAAACAAGCAACCAATCAGTTGTGTCTTTTACATTACAGGTCGGTCCAGGTATTATCAGTTCGGGTCTCTCTCATGACCCGGTACTGATCAGGTCTGAAAAATCATAGACCCAAACACGACCTGTGACTGGGTTCAGGTCGGTTCTGGGTCTTTCGATTTGGTCTGCAAAATACTAGTAATAACTTCAGTTTGAGTAGCAACTATATTAACAAAAATCTAGTTTGTGTAATAATTATATTAACAATATTTTCAGTTTGTGTAGCAACTGTATTAACAATATTTCTGGTTTAGGTAGTGACTGTATTAATAGTAAATAACAATTGTTGTGTTAATAGTTGCAGAATTTATAGTGTTTATATCAATTAGGGTTCCGCAATTTGATTTGATTTGATTTAATTTGATCAAATATTTGATTTCAAATCAAATTCAAATACAGAAATTTCAAATCAAATCAAATTCAAATTGACAAAATATTTGATTCAATTCAAAAATACTTAATAAAAATTACAAATAAATTTGATTTGATTTGAATTTGATTTAATTAAATCAAATTCAAATATAGAAATTTCAAATCAAATCAGATTCAAATTGACAAAATATTTGATTTGATTCGACTTTGAGGAACTCTAGTATCAATAATAGATAAAGAAGATATATTAGAGTCTTTATTATTAATTTTTTTTTATTAGCACTACAGGTTTTTTTTAAATGATTTGCTGACTATAATATTTAATTAACTTGTTTAATTTTTTTTGGCATGTTTATTTTAAAAAATATAAAAATAAAAAATCACAATTATTTTAATTAGAACAATTCTAACCACCATCCTAGATAATTTTACTAAAATATCATCCTAGTTAAATGATATGCATATCGATCAATAATATTGCAAGATCGATTTAATTTTATTTTTTTATTTTTTTTTTTAATATTAAGGTGACTATTTAGGCCCTTGGCACTTTATTAGTACAAGCGGTAGGCCAGTGTTAATTTTAGTATCAGCTTTACATATTACATCAGTATCATGAGAGTACAACTAGTCATATGTACAACTTTTGATTGCCTATTTAAGTAGTCCGCCCGAAGCGTTAGTACTATGCTAGGGGTTCTACACTAGCTGTCATACCTATAGCCTAACTAGGAAGCTATCTATTTAAACTCTCTGGCTTCAACCGATATCACATGATTCCTCCTAATATACCTCTATATAGAGAGTAATTTACTGTTTAAAACCCTAAGACTTTAGCCAACAACAGAAGGCATTTATCCTTGTAGTAAACCTAACAGAGCAGTGCATGTCCTACACATGTGCTTACCTGCATGTTTGGTAATTTCTTTTCTAACTAGTACATGTTGTGCTACCACCACCAGGTTCGTATCTCAAGCTAACTTTTGGGGTGCTGCTATAACCCGATCCGTATCTCAAACACAACCTTCCTAATTAGTCACCAATTATATACTCCTGCCCTTGTAAGGTTCACAACAACCCCGGTACCCACATTCTAGCTGTCTTTTTACCTGGATTCTTTATCGGTCCCTCCCTTACTTCCAGCCAGCAACCCGGAAAGGTTGGTCAGCCCAGGCTTTAGGTGTCTGAAGAATGCCCTCCCCTTGGTCCATACTTTTGGAGCATATGGCCTTTTTCTCTGGTGCGTTTAGCCAGTGGTTCGGCTAGTGTGTCCCCCCACTAAAGGACCTGGTCGCTCGGTTCTCCAATCTCGGGCCCCGGTTCAAATTCAGCCTTCCTGTAGTACCATCGAAGATTACTACTACATCCTACTCGGGACTTCCCAAATGGGCTTCGATCTTCGGTCCTGTGACTCGTGCCAAGCACAGCCTACAGATTACAGCCTTCCAGAATCACCTCAACGGTGCTACCAAACACCGTCTCGACAGATTCTCTATAGGCCAACCTTAGTAAAGATCGTCGCAAACTTTTCACATATCACAAAAGCATTGTCCCTGGGATTCAAACATGAGATTTTCCTATAACGTTTGGAGAGGGTGACAATTAGACCACTTCACTAAGTCGCTACACCTCTCGATTTAATATTATTATATAATTATATATACTGTATTTAGTATAGTATATAGTTTATTTATTAAGTTACTTATGTCGCACAATATATATATTGAATCGTCGATTCACAAAATTTCAAAAATACAATCAGAACTCTACCAAAACAACGTCCTTATATGTTCACAGACCTTCGGCCTGTGAACTTCTATTTTTATTAATCAAATCCTAGCAAAAGAACTTTGCTAGAAAACAAGTTATACATTGTACTAATCCATAATCAACTTGTTCAATGTCAAGAATTTCCCTATATGTTCGCAGACCTTTGGCCTGCAAACTCCTGTTTTTACTAATCAGATCTTAGCAAAAGGACTTTGCTAAAAGATAAGCTATGCATTGTATCAATTCATAATCAACATGCTCAACAATCTATTAGCATCAATCATAATACAAACCTTACAAAAAAGATGATCACTATGAATATAGAAGAACAAAAATTATAACTTTGAGAACTAAAAAAAATATACTAAAACAACGAACCAATACAAAAAACCCACTGACCCAAGCAATTCACACCACCATGAAGCTACCAGTAATGTTCTTAAGCACTATTTGAAAAAAGAAAGCAGTAGTTGACATATGGGGGAGTCAATAGAAATGAGACAAATTTATTAGATAGATTTGTCCTATTTCTATTGGCTCCCCCATATAAGTTAGACAATGAAAAAACTACAAAACTATCACTAGCAACAATTCTCACCACCACAAGCCTCCGGCAAAGTTCTTAAGTGCCAACTGAAAGAAGAGTACTGAAACAACAAAACAACAGAAAAAGAATGAATATGGTTTCAAAGGCAAAGCAAAAAGGACAAACAGATCTAAAATCCAAACTACCATCAACATTGATGATGAAATTACACTACCACCAATATTGAAAGCTATGGTGAAATCACCACCAATGGCACTAAAAGCCAGAGTGAAATCATAACAACCAAAAGCTAGAGCGAAATTGCAACCACCAACGACAACACTGAAACAAAAAAAAAAAAAAGATTATCACTAATGATTAGATCAGATGATTATCTATTTATATACATATGTATGATGGATAACATTTAGCAAAATCATCCAGGATAATTTTAAGAAAATTTCTTTTAATTATTAATATTAAAATTTTTATTGATTTAAATAATAATTAGAGATATACAATTTTGCCTGATCCATTTTTCCATATATATATATACTGTGTAATAGTTGTGCGTATATATAAACCAAATCATATCAACTTTTTATTATATATCATTAAATCATACTACTATTTGATCTTTTGTGACATCATTATGCAGAAGATTTGCAACCAAAATTTCTTTGAAATTCCAGAAGAGAAAATTTTCGTCAACCCTTTTTCATAATAGGTATATAGAATTTGAAATAGCTATTGCTATTTGCTATTGCTATTACTATTGATATTTATTTCGCTATTATCAAAAAAAAAAAAAAGTAAACCTCTTACTTAATTAAACCTGTTAATTAATCTAATAGAATACACTTTAATAGAACACATAGGGTTTCTAGGTTCAGTTCAGTTCAAATTTAGGTTTAATGAACCTGAACTGAGCCTGAACCTGAACCACAAATTTTGCAGATCTTTGAACCTGAACCTGAACTGAACTTTGAATTTATAAACCTGAACTGAACCTGAACTTAAAGTTCAGGTTCATTCAGGTTCAGT